TTGGTTTTTTATTTCACCTCTATCTACTCATTAAGTTCGGACTGTATTGCTTTCTTTTGAAGACTATTTTTGAGTAAGTTTTATCTCCAACTGAGAATTATTGAACAGTGGGGCCAAGTTGGAGGCATTAAAGGACATTTATTTATGCTTTGGATTTTGTTATGTTTATGTTACACTCCGGGTCACCACATCCAGCATCCACTCCCATTTAAACCATGAGTCTCTAGCCGTATCTCTCCAAGTTTTTTTTTAAAAAAACAAGATAGAAGTGAACATGCCGGTACTACCTCGATGTAGACGACTCTGAGACACATCATACATTTCACCCTTGACCCTGGTCTTTCCCCCCAACCCCTGGATGTATGTTATCCAATGGGACACATCCATAACCAAGAGTCATCAATCATGCTCTCCAGTAATAATCTTGTGCACCAGAATCTCTGGTGGCCTAGCAATTATCTATGAAAGCATTTAAGGTATGCACTGCTTCCCCTTTCTGCTGGCAACTCTAAAAGACCAGAGAAATATTTTTGAGTTGACACTAGCAACATGAATTTTGGAGTCAATTGTGGTCATAACTCCAGGGCTACTTTGTACAACCATGCCACTAATGGAATAACTGCAATGATTCATTTAACAACGGTGGCAGGAGAGGTTATAAAATGGGGCAAAGCTCCACTTAGCAGAGGTCTCACTTAGCAGTATAAATTTTGGGCTCAATAATGCTCCTAAATTGGGAACACCCTGTGTTGAACTGTGTTCTATAGGGTAATATTTAAATGCACCAGAAGGCAACATTGTTTTGTGAAGTAACTCTACAATATATATATATATATTTAAAAATACACTTTGTGATCCAGCATTAACTCAAAATCCTATAGAGCATTTGCACAGATCCTCATTCTCTTTTGCATGCCAATAGCCCTTAGACTTATGCACTGCTTCACAGTGCTTGACAGCCCTCTCTAAGCGGTGTACAGAGTCAGCCTCTTGTCCTCCAACAATCTGGGTCCTCGTTTTACCCAACTGAGAAGGAGGGAAAGCTGAGTCAACCTTGAGCCTGGTGGGATTTGAACCGCCAAACTGCAGGCAGCTGGCTGCAGCAGAAGTAGCTTGCAGTACTGGACTCTAGCCATGGAAGGCTGAGTCAACTTTGAACCTGGTGAGAATTGAACTGCTGGCAGTGAGCATAAATTACCCTGCAATACTGCATTCTAACCACTGCGCCAGCAGGAACAAGAATGAGAAAGGGAACAAGGGAGGGAGGGAGGGAGGGAAGGAAGGAAGGAAGGAAGGAAGGAATGGAAGGAAGGAAGGAAGGAAGGAAGGAATAGCAACAGCACGTAGACTTATATACTGCTTTACAACTGTCTCTAAGCAGTTTACAATGTTAGCCCGTTAAAAAAAAAGAGAGAGAGAAATGTCTCCCATAAAGATATTTTCATATATGTTTGGCCTGATTTAGACATCTGTTGACAGGAATCTCCCTGTTTGCTTTTTTTCCAAATTAGTTGGAAATTAGTTTGGTTCCTTTTTCCTGTTCTTTCACCTAGATAGTTTTCAAGTGGAACCATTTATCTTCCTTCCCATATTTTGTTCCATATAAATTCCCCCGAGTGAGCATTTTTTTTAAAAAAAAAAGCCATCCCTTTTTATTTTCAGGCAACTTGCAGAGAAAAGCACTTTTTGTTTTTTGTTTTTGTTTTAAAAAGAAGATTCTGCAAAAATGTTTCACAGAATCAGATGGGAACAAGAGAAATCTAAAAAAGTAATAATAATGGAAAAATGATGATTTACTACCATAGATGTTTTACGCTGGTGTGGCTGTGGGGGTTGTCACATTGCTGCCAAATCTGGGAGATGGGAACTGTCCAAATTGATTTCCAACATAATTGTGACACAATAATTCTTTTACGTGTTTCATTCTGGGATAAAGTTTAGAATAGAATAGAGCTGTAAGGGACCTTAGAAGTCTTCTAGTCTAGCCCCAGGCTAGAAATCAGGATACAGTGAGTTCTAGTCCTGCCTTTAACCTTGAAAGCCAGCTGGGTGACCTTGGGCCAATCACCAGGACAGTGAGTTCTAGTCCTGCCTTAACCATAACCAAGTCATCTCCTCCTCCTCCTCCTCCTCCTCCTCCTCCTTTCCAGTATTGATGATGTCACCTACTTTGGTAATGAAAGGCCTGCAAGAAAACAACCCACCAAGGACCCCACAGTCCCTCCTCTTCCTCCTCCTCCCCCTCCCCACTTCCTTGTAGCATTGATGATGTCATCTACTTCGCTAATAAAATGTCTACAAGAAAACACTCCATTTTGGAGAATTCCACAGTCATTTTCCTTCTCCTCCTTCTCCCAAAATTCTTGTATTCTTATGCTGAGAAGCACACCAACATTGGTATTTGGTAAATGGATAGTGAAGCCCTGGTTGAGCTGACTTTTTTTTTTTGCCAATCCCTAGAGTTATATTCATTGTCATAAAACAAAACTGAGCCTTCTTTATATCTTTCATGGTCCTTGTCCCCAACACAATTAGAAATAAAGCCAGCTCGTTCATTCTGTATGCCAGGCCCTCTTTCCCTCAACCACCTGTCCTGCTTCTTACATCTGGCAATAATTAATGAAAATTTAGAAATCCATCTTAGCAAACACCAGATTCTTTGTGATCTCTAAAAGGGCAGCCAGGTCGCTGTAACATTGAGAAGTCAATCAAATATTTTTACAAGCTTTTTTTAAAAAGATTCTTGTCCAATACCACTGCTGCTAATCTGGAACTTCGTGAGTCACGATGTTGCTTTATAAGCAAATCCAGATATTCCTAAAATTCCTAGTTGGGAAAAAAGCATGCATGCCCAGGAAAGTTGAAAATAACAAAACCACTCTGGTTGACTTGTACACCAGCCTTTCTTGGGAAAATCAACAGACTATATGATATGTTCCATGGTTATCAATTATACTCTAGGAAAAGAACAAGCAGAGCCTGCGTTTGGGTGGGTTGGTAGGTGGGTGGGTGGAGTCAAGAGAGGAACCAGCCTAGAATCATTACGTTCCCACAAATTGTCTAAGTCTGACCTCTCATCAAATTCTTATCTTAGCCATAACTTAGTGCTGAGTGTTACTTGACTAGATTCTTGTATTATGGGCCTGAGCAATAAATCAGCTTAATTGGAACTTAACACATAATCTTCTCATCTGAGATAATGCACCCTTTATCCGCACTCCAGAGTTCAGTGAAATGAGAACCTCTGATGACATTAGATCTGCTCTCAGTTGGTCTCCTGGTCAATTCCCTAGTCAATTATCCTACTCTCCTGGTCAATTCCCAGTTACAACTCCATTGCAGAATTGGGGAATACCTAAGTATTGGTTGCTGTCTCCCCTCCTTGGAAGAGCTTTATAGCTCCTGCTAGGCTTAAAAAAGTTCAAAACATCCTTAAGAATCCATCTCATCCTGAGCACCCCTTTTTATGAACTATTACCACCGGGTAGATGGTACAGGATAATAATAAAAACAAGGGCAAATAGGCTGAAAAACAGCTTCTATCCCAAGGCAGTAACTATACTGAATTCTACTGTATAGTGTAATACTAATGCAGTATCAGGGGTTTTCAATTCAATTGTATAAAATGTGAAGGATGTGTGTTTGTGTTTTATTTTTATAGTTATAATGTACACTGAAGATGGCATTTAATTTCATTGTGCAAGGTGCAATGCCAATAAAGTAAACTAAACTGAGTAGCTTAGACCCAATCAAACACAGGAACAAGTAGATAGATACCTAAACTCTCCGAAACACCATTCCAAAAAAAAAAAAAAAACCCAGCTACTTAAACTTTTCTATTTTGGCCTACATATTCATTATTAAAACCAAAGTGAGCTTGGTGCACACCCTACTGTTCAGAGCTCAACATTCACGATTGCAGGATTTTTGTAGACTTCATTTGGCTATAACTCACTAAAGAACAATGCAGCCAGCCTAGCTGAAGTCGAAGAACTGCATAGAAATTAGTTGTGGTTGATTATTTCCTTAGAAGCGTGCTTAGGTTTTTTGGGAAAAAAAATCAATCAATCAGAATAGATCTGGAAGGGACCCTGGATGTCTTCTAATCCAATCCTCTGCCCATGCAAGAGACTTTATACCATTTCAAACAGGTAGCTTCTTACAAGCCTCCAGTGATGGAGCATCCACAGCTTCTGAAGGCAATTTGTTCCATTGGATAATTGTCTTCAGTGTCAGGAAGTTTCTCCTTAATTCCACGCTGCTCCTCTCCTTGATTAGTTTCCATTCATTGCTGCCTTCTCCTCTTCCTGCACCTAAATATTGCTGTGAAATAAAAGCAATTTATCAGTTTGAGCTTCACCAATCCATAATAACCAAGAGGGTTTTCCAGAGGAAATGTTTTCTAGGCCAGTCTCGCTTTGAGAAAATAATGTCTGCTCTATTCTGATAAACCAAAGGTGTTTTTTTTTTGAAGAGGCAACTGGGCTTTCTTCCAAGAAGCTTCTTCAGCTCTGATTGGATGGTGGGGAATGGAAGGATTTAAACTCCTTTCAGACAGCTGGTCATTTGCATCCTTTTAGAACAAGGATCTTCAAACTTGAGAGCTTTAAGACTTGTGGACTTCAACTCCCAAAATTCCTGAGCTAACATGACTGGAGGAGGAATTCTGGGAGTTGAAGTCCACAAGTCTTAAAGCTCTCAAGTTTGAAGACCCCTGATGTAGAAAGTCATTGAGACCACTCAGAGGTTTGCCAAGGTGACCAGCTGTCTGCAAGGAATAGAAATGCTTCCACTCTCCACCATTCAGTCAGAGCCAAAGAAGCTTCTTGGATGAGAAGCAAAACATCTTCAAAATAAAAAGCAGAAAGTCCAGTTGCCTCTTGTAAAAAGCACCTTTGGGACAACCACAACCTGGATGAATGAGAATCTCCATAGACTCTATTCTGATAGACTTAGAAAAACAAAACATATTAAAATATTCTTGTTATTTTCCTTTCCAGGAAGCTGTCATCGAAAAGGGTACAATTGCCTATCAGAACTGGGTCATTCCAGGGAGTCCCATCTACCGACAGTTTTGGCTCTTTGATGTACAGAACCCAGAGGAGGTGATGCAGAATGGGTCTGCTCCAGTCCTTAAGCAGAAAGGTCCTTACACTTACAGGTAAATCAAGACCTGTGGATCAGAATGTCTTGGGGACATGGAAGAGGGATTAGAGAATCAAACAGAGATAGTTCATTGAATTGGGACAGGAGATTGAGTCCAACTTCCTACGCAGTTGTTGTTAGTTGCAAAGTCATGTCTGACCCATCACGACCCCATGGACATCATTCCTCCAGGCCTTCCTGTCCTCTACCATCTTCCGGAGTCCATTTAAGCTCACGCCGACTGCTTCATGACTCCATCCAGCCACCTCCTTCTCTGTCATCCCCTTCTTCTTCTTTTGCCCTCAATCGTTCCCAGCATTCGGCTCTTCACCAGGGAGTCCTTCCTTCTCATGAGGTGGCCAAAGTCTTTGAGTTTCCTCTTCAGGATCTGGCCTTCTAAAGAGCAGTTCAGGGTTGATCTCCTCTAGGACTGACCAGTTGGATGGCCTTGCAGTCCAAGGGACTTGCAGGAATCTTCTCCTCCAGCCCCAGAGTTCAAAGGCCTCCATTCTTCGGCGCTCAGCTTCCTTATGGTCCAACTTTCAAAGCCATGCATTGCAACTGGGAAAACCACAGCCTTGACTCTACGCACTTTTGTTGGCAGGGGGATCTCTCTGCTTTTTGGTATGCTGTCTAGAATCCCTAACCTTAACTCCTACACAGTGCTAGAATCCATAATAGAATGGTCATAATGGAGGAAGGTCCATAATTGCTTTGACACATCCAGTGAAGGAGGTTTGTCTCCTCTCTGAGTTCAACCTTTGAATTACTTTTGAAGATTTTCTAGGGGTTCAACCAGAACCCGCCTTTCATAACAGAAGACCCATTTTTTAATTTTTTTTTACTATAACAGAGAACAAATAATTTGGCTCTCTTTGGTTCTGTCTATGTAGGGGTTACCTAATGTTAGGACCCACTGATCCATCCTTGTCCAGAATTGATTTTGGTAGATCAGTAATGGATGGCTGAAATGAATCATGGCGGTGTCAGATTGATATGTGTATGTCTATAAATTTCGAGAGTTTTTTTTCTTTTTTCTACAATTTTTGATTTTCTCAATTTTTGTGTGTAAAATAAGTACCTATTTTATTCCTCCTCCTCTTCTTCCACTCCACCAGCACCCCACTCTCTCCCAGCACTGGGGATGTTACCTAATTGGGTCATGAAATGTCTGCAAGAAACAATCAAGCTCAGAAAGCACCAAGGATCCACAATCCTCCTTCTCCTCCCCCTTTTCTTCCTGCTCCTCTTCCCCTCCTCCTCCCTCTTCTTCCTGCTTCTCCTCCTCTCCCCCTCCCCCTCCCCTCCTTGTGTTTCTCTTCCTCCTCTTTCCCCTGCTTCTTCTCCTCCCCCCCTGCTTCTTCTCCTTTTCCTTCTCCTTCTCCCCCTGCTTCTCTTCCTTCTCCTTCTGCTCCTCCTCTTCCCCCACCCCTTACACAAGAAACAGCCTGCAGCTCACAGATTCCCTATACTTTAGCCTTTATACACTTAGCAAATGGCTGGAAAGTCTTAATAACTGGTTATTACCCAATATATTTTTCTTCCCCATTGTTTGTCCTTCCATCATAGCGATGATTTCTGTTCCCGCCCACCTAAAATCAAATAGAATTAGTTGTTCAGATGTGCTTTTGATAGGTGGTATTCTTGGGAAACAATGAGAGGAAATATTTCCCTGGCTTTGAAATCAAATTAGAAGGGAACACAAATGGATAACTTGATCAAGAGGCAGTAAACCCACAGGGTGCCTTTTTAAGGGAAGGGGAATTATGGGAGGGGTAGTTCCATGCCTAACATCTAGAGAGGGAAGGTTTAGCACTTCTTAGATTGCACACCAAAAAGTCATGTTTTAAATGGTTTGTTGTTGTCCATGAACACAACTCTCTAGAGCAAGTTGACCAGTGGGGTTGTTGTTGTTTTTTCATTCCGGCTTCTACAAGGCAGCTTTGTTTTGCTTTGATCTCCATGGGGATATTATATAGGAGTCCTTCTGGCTTGGCCCAAGGTAAACTGTTTGCCTTGGGTTGAACTGTGTCCTTGGGCTAATAACAACCGAAAGCTTCTTTCAAGCGTGTGTGTGTGTGTGTGTGTGGTTGTGTGTGGTTTGCTGTTCCTGGTGGCTATCTGAACAGCCATCAAAATGAAACGATATCTGAACCGTCCACTTTGGGCTGGGAGGCAGAAGGATTATGGCTTTTCATTAGGATTCATAAAGTAATGCAAAACATATTGAAAGAGACTTCAAATGTGCATATATATGTGTGTTAAGGAAAGAAAAGGAAAGGAAGGGGAAATGGAAGAGAAGGAAAGGGAAGGAAGTAAATAAATGGGGAAGCGAAGGAAGAAAATAGATAGGGAAGGGAAGGAAAAAAGGAAAGGAAGCGAAGTAAATAAATGGGGAAGGGAAGGAAAAGAAAGGAAAGGAAGTAAATAGATGGGGGAGGGAAGGGAAGGAAGTAAATAGATGGGAGAGGGAAGGGAAGGAAACAAAAGGAAGTAAATAGATGGGGAAGGAAAGGAAGTAAATAGATGGGGAAGGGAAGGGGAGAGGAGAGGAGAGGAGGAGAGGAGAGGAGAGGAAAGGAAAGGAAAAGGGAAAGGGAAAGGGAAAGGGAAGGAGTGCAAGCTTTAGAACATAGAATAACAGAGTTGGAAGGGACCTTGGAGGTCTTCTAGTCCAGCCTCCTGCTCAAGCAGACAAATTGGTTGTCCAATCCCTTCTGGAAAACCTCCCACATGGAGCACCCACAACCTCCAAAGAGAAGCCCTTTCCACCGATTCCATTGTTTGACCCTTAACAAGTGGTGTCGTCTTCTCCTTTTTCCCTCAAAGGATGCGCTATAAGCCCAAAGAAAACATCACCGAATATTTCGACAACACCCTCTCATACTTCCAGCCGAACATCATCCGTTTTGAACCCGATCTGTCCATCGGCTCAGAAAATGACACTGTCACCACTGTCAACCTTGCCGTTGTGGTAAGCGAGCCCTCCCATCAATATTTCCCTCCTCTGAAGATGAAATTGGAATAGTCGGTCAATAAAAAATGGGGTTTGGGGATTCTCAGGACTGTGGGATGAGGTTCTGTTTTAGTCTCTTCATGGATGAATGAAATGGATTTTTTTCAGATGATTCACCTGAAAGTTTCCTAAAATTAGTCCCATTTGACTCCCACGCATTTCCTGCCTCTTTCCCACAAACATGTTGTGGTTGTGTTACCCTGGCCATAGATGTTCTTCAGCTTCAGCTTCTTTTCCATTTAAACCTTTGGAGACTGAGGAAGCTTCTCAGATCCCCTTGTCTGCTCTATTTTTGGCTACTTTGATGAGATGGCAAACAAAGGTACCAATTACTATGGCTTGGTAGCGTCTCTGGAGGAGCCATACAGACCTCCAGAGATTGTGAAGTTCTCAGTAAAACATATTGCTCGAACCTCTAGGGCCCGTGTGTGCTGAACAATTTAGTCCTTGTTTGTATCCCATTTTTGAAATAAGACTATTTAAATACACATCTAAATCTATATCTATCTATCTATCTATCTATCTATCTATCTATCTATCTATCTATCTATCTATCTATCTATCATATCTCTGTCTCTATCTCTCCCATCTTTCTCTCTCTCATCTATGTATCCATCTATCTACACTATATATCTTTATCTACAGTATCTATCTATCTATCTATCTATCTATCTATCTGTCTGTCTGTCTGTCTGTCTGTCTGTCTGTCTGTCTGTCTGTCCGTCCGTCCGTCTGTCTGTCTGTCTGTCTGTCTGTCTGTCTATCTGTCTATCTGTCTATCTGTCTATCTGTCTATCTATCTATTATCTATCTATCTATCTATCTATTTATCATATCTCTGTCTGTGTCTGTCTGTCTCTCTCTCTCCCTCTCTCTCTCTTTCACTCTCTCTATATATACACACACACATACATACACATATACAGACACACATACACACACACACATATATAATATATCTGTCTCTCTCTCATCTCTATCTCTTTTTCTCTCAATCTATCTATCTATCATCTCCCTCTCGCTCTTTCTATCTATGTCATCTATCCATCTAGCTATCTATGCTATATATCTATTTATCTGCACTATCTATCTATCTATCTATCTATCTATCTATCTATCATCTATCTATCTATCTATCTATCTATCTATCTATCTATCTATCTATCTATCTATCTATCATATCTGTCTGTCTGTGTCTGTTTATGTGTCTCTCTCTACACTATACACACACATATATAATATCTCTGTCTCTCTCTCACACACACCCCTTTCTTGATCTATCTATTGTGTGTGTGTGTGAGTTGATGGATTCTGCATAGGGCTGTAGTTGTTTGGCGAGAAATTTGGCTAGGTTTTGTAGAGGTGAGCCTATGGAGCTGATTGACTTAACAATCATGGCAAGAAAGGTTGTAAAGTAAGACAAAACTCAACTTAACAATTGCCTCACTTAGCAACAGAAAATGTGGTCTCAGTTGTGGTTGTAAGTCGAAGTATTTGTATTAATGATACCAATTAATGTTCAGCATATGCTCAGGTTCAAAACTTTTAAGACATTTTGTGATTTGATCACATATGGGACTTACGTCAAGGCTCTTTATGTCGATTTGCATTCCAGTATCCAAAATTTAAGTCTTAGACTTAGACTTAGATTAACAGAATTGGAAGATACCTTGTTAGGTCATCTAGTCCAGAGGTGGTGTTCAGCAGATTCTGACCAGTTCTGGAGTACCGGTAGCAGAAATTTTGAGTAGTTGGGAGAACCAGCAAATCCCACCTCCGACTGGAGATTTTACAGCATCCTTCCCCTGCCACGCCCACCAAGCCATGCCCACAAAACCGATTGTAAAAAAAATGAATCCCACCATTGATCTAGTCTAACCCCCATTTCCTACACCATTTCTGACAGATGGCAGTCCAATCTCATCTTGAAAGCCTCCAGTGATGAAGCACCCACAACTTCTGAAGGCAACTTCTGTTCCGTGGGTTGATGGTTTTCACTGTCAGAAAATTTCTCTTTATTTCCAGGTTGAATCTCTCATTCAGTTTCCATCCATTATTCCTTGTCTGGCCTTTGGGTGCCTTGGAGAATAGCTTGACCCCTTCCTCTCTGTGGCAGCCCCTCAAATATTGGAAGACTGCTCTCCTGTCTCTCCTGGTCCTTCTCTTCACTAGACTAGCCAGGCCCAATTCCTGCAACCATTCTTTGTATGTTTTAACCTCCAATCCCCTAAATCATCCTGGTTGTTCTTCTCTGCACTCTTTCCAGAGTCTCAACATCTTTTTTATAGTGTGGTGACCAAAACTGGATGCAGTACTCTAGGTGTGGTCTCACTAAGGCTTTCTAGAGTGGTATTAGTACCTCCCTTGATCTTGATTGTATCCCTCTGTTAATGCAATCATCTTGGTATTTGTCACAGGCTGCACCAGCTTTGTTTAAAGCTGGACTTATTCAAGCTTTGATGGACATCTGGATGAAATCTTCCAAATCATATTTCCTCCAAACAAGAAGCGTGAAAGAATTACTTTGGGGCTATGAAGATCCCTTCTTGAAGAAAATCCCAATGTCAAAAGTTCCCAAGGTTGTAGGAGTATTCTACCCTGTAAGTATAAACTCAAAGGGAAAATTATTTACTTACAATGTGATTGTAAGAAAAGCATCTGTGCTGGTATATAATAACAATAGCACTTAGACTTATATAACACTTTATAGTGCTTTACAGCCCCCCTCTAAGCAGTTTACAGAGTCAGCCTCTTGCCCCCAACAATCTGGGTCCTCATTTTACTGAACTCAGAAAGATGGAAGGCTGAATCAACCTGGAGCCTGGTGAGAATCAAACTGTTGGCAGTCGGCAGAGTTTGTTTGCAAACCTGCATTCTAACACTGCACCAGCAGGAAGAAGAATGATAAGAGAGGAAAAGGAAGGAAGGAAGGAAGGAAGGAAGGAAGGAAGGAAGGAAGGAAGGAAGGAAGGAAGGAAGGAGGGAGGAATAGCAACAGCACTTGGACTTATATACCACTTCATAGTGTTTTACAGCCCCCATAGTGCTTTACAGCCCTTTACAGACATGAGTGGTTTACAAATGTTAGCATCTTGCCCTTAACAATCTCGGTCCTCATTTTACTGACCTCAGAAAGACGGAAGGCTGAGTCAACCTTGAACCTGGTGAGAATCAATCTGCTGGCAATGAGCACAAATTAGCCTGCAATACTGCATTCCAACCACTGCACCAACAGAAAGAAGAATGAGCAAAAGAACAAGGGAGGGAGGGAGGGAGGAAGGAAGAAAGGAAGGAATAGCAACAGCACGTAGACTTATATACTGCTTTAAAACTGTCTCTAAGCAATTTACAATGTTAGCACATTGCCCCCAATAATCTGGCTCCTCATTTTGTCAACACCTCTTTAAAATCCCGAATATTCAGAACATTGAAATTAGAATAATGATTTCTGTGTTAGCATGGCTGATTGAAAGTCAATAGGTTCTTTTATTCTCAATACAAAAGCATTGCTGGTATCAATCTACTTCATTGCATCTTAGAAATAAAGCAACAAATATGATTTTGATAGGGGTATCAAATAATTTTCTTATCTTGTTTCCTTTCATCAAGTGATAGCACCAATCTGACTGTGGCTTGTCTAGAAAGCTAAGCAGGGTTAGTCCTGGATCATAGTTGGAGGGGGGAAACAAATGTGAAAATCTACTTTTTTTTGCCACTTTGGGGGAACTTGGATATCTGAATATGCTATCCTTATTTCAGAAGTGAAAGGGTTGGTTTTTTAATTTTCAATATTTTTTTTGCAACTGATTATTTTCCTATTTATCTATGTAATAAGGCATCTTACTCCATTAGTAATTAGTCATTATATCAATGACTGTGTTGTAAACACATTGACAGTTTTACGACTGTGATTGCATCATAATTTTAACATTATTTTTGACACTGCGTGAAAAATGGGAAGGTGGATAAAAGTTGAAAGCCACGGCAATTTTTTGATGATCAACATTCAGAATGCAACATTAGCAATTCTAATTAATTAAAAAAAGGACATAGCTAATTCTAAGGCAGGAGGGGGGAAATGGGATAATCAAAATGGGATGATCAAGGAAGTGGAAATATTAGCATTAATGTCCATAAACAACTTGCATCTTTGTCATACAAGAGAGGTTAAAATATTTGTCAATTCCATATCACCAAGTTGAGGTTCCTGGGAGTTTGCTTTTAAAGTTGTAGCAATGTTTCGGCAGAATCTCATCTGCCATCATCAGGCTTCTGTATAGTGTTCATCTGAGTCAGACTTTTACAGTGGTTTCAGATTTAAATTTGGGGCACAAACAGATCCCCCCTGATACCTCCAGCTCAAACACACCCCAACCAGGCACCCAGATGAAACCTAGCTTCCTAACTAATGATAGCCGTCCATTTACCCGGAGCCAAGCTGCACTAAAGGCCTCCAATAAAGCAACACAATGTTGCCAGCCAATCAAGATACAAAAAGAGCCACAAAACAGACAGAAGATATTAGAAACACCAATCAAGCAGAACACAGCAAACTCCAAGACCAATAAACACAGACCAAGACTCCCAACCAATCAGGATGAAGAAAAAACCATTCTGGCACAGCAGTAGGCTTGCCCCAAATTTAAAACTGAGACAGCTCTGAAAGTCTGACGAACACAGTACAGAAGCCTGATGATGGCAGATGAGATTCTGCCGAAACCTTGCTACAACTTTAAAAGCACAACTATAATGACATGGGAAAATACCCGAATAAGGCTGAATACCAATCACACAAAAATTATCAATGGAAATCAAATTTAGTAACCCATGGAGGTCTGGATTTGGAATTACACTCAAAATTAAAGTGGAAAAAAAACTACAGGCTGATCCAACTTTGATTTAATGTCCTTAAATCAAGTCAAAATGAGTCTCAGTAGTGTGTGTGGCTTCCACGTGCCTGTATGACCTCCCTACAATGCCTGGGCATGCTCCTGATGAGGTGACGGATGGTCTCCTGAGGGATCTCCCCCCACACCTGGACTAAAGCATCCCCCAATTCCTGGACAGTCTGTGGTGCAATGTGGAGTTGGTGGATGGAGCGAGACATGATGTCCCAGATGTTCTCAATTGGATTCAGGTCTGAGGAACGGGCGGGCCAGTCCACAGCATCAATGCCTTCATCTTGCAGGAACTGCTGACACACTCCAGCCACATGAGGTCTAGCATTGTCATGCATTAGGAGGAACCCAGGGCCAACCGCACCAGCATATAGTCTTACAAGGGGTCTGAGGATCTCATCTCGGTACTTAATGGCAGTCAGGCTACCTCTGGCAAGCACATGGAGGGCTGTGCAGCCCCCTAAAGAAATGCTACCCTACACCATTACTGACCCACTGCCAAACCGGTCATTCTGGAGGATGTTTCAGGGAGCAGAATGTTCTCCACGGTGTCTCCAGACCCTGTCATGTCTGTCACATGTGCTCAGTGTGAACCTACTTTCATCTGTGAAGAGCACAGGGCGCCAGTGGCGAATTTGCCAGTCTCGATGTTCTCTGGCAAATGACAAACGTCGTGCACGGTGTTGGGCTGTAAGCACAACCCCACCTGTGGATGTCAGCCCCTCATACCACACTCATGGAGTCTGTTTCTGACCGTTTGAGCAGCCACATGAACATTTGTGGCCCGCTGGAGGTCATTTTGCAGGGCTCTGGCAGTGCTCCTCCTGTCCCTCAGAGGTAGCGGTCCTGATGCTGGGTTGTTGCCCTCCTATGGCCTCCTCCATGTCTCCTGATGTACTGGCCTGTCTCCTGGTAGTGCCTCCATGCTCTGGACACTACGCTGACAGACACAGCAAACCTTGCCACAGCTTGCATTGATGTGCCATCCTGGATGAGCTGCACTACCTGAGCCACTTGTGTGGGTTGTAGACCCTGTCTCATGCTACCTCTAGAGTGACAGCACCGCCAACATTCAAACGTGACCAAACCATTAGCCAGAAAGCATAGGAACTGAGAAGTGGTCTGTGGTCACCACCTGCAGAACCACTCCTTTATTGGGGATGCCTTGCTAATTGCCTATGCTTTCTACCTGTTGTCTATTCCATTTGCACAACAGCAGGTGAAATTGATTGTCAATCAGTGTTGCTACCTAAGTGAGCAGTTTGATTTCACAGAAGTGTGATTGACTTGGAGTTACATTGTGTTGTTTAAGTGTTCCCTTTATTTTTTTGAGCAGTGAATACATACATACATACATACATACATACATACATACACACACACACACACCTGAATTGTGACTATTTCCAGTATGAATTTTTAGCCCCAAATTTAGCCTACTTCAAAAATTAAGATCTCCATGTCCTAGGTACAGAGGAGAAAAAACACCAGTTTCCTACTAAAAACAGAAAATGAAAAATGTTGTAGAGCAGATTTTTAAATGCTAGCCAGTTTTATCTTGATGATGGAGCCTGTTTGTATCAAAAATTAATTTCTGTTCTCTCTCTCTTTCTCTCATTCAAGTACAATGAAACATCTGATGGTCCTTACCAAATTTACAGTGGAAAAGGTGATTTAACCAAGAAAGGATCTATCCTCACTTATAATAATAGCAGGTATAATATATTTGGGGAAAACATTGCTTTTTAAAAAAAAATTACAACAGTTTAGTATCCGTTCTGTTTTGTGAACTTCAGATGATATAGACAGACAGACGGACGGACAGACAGACAGACAGACAGACAGATAGATAGTCTGGGCAACTGAATGGAGCTAGTGGAGTGTTTTAATGGCCGGATGCCCTTCCTGTCACCACTGAGGAGTTTTGTTCAACAGATATATTCTCAATGTACTCAGAGAGAGAAATATCTGCCTCATATATTCTCAAGGACAATTGTTAGGTTCTTGCATAAAATGACTTTCTAATGTCATCATAGGGTCAGTCCTAACTAGAAAGTCTTTCACTTGAGCCTTAAGTGTCAAGTCCTTAACATAAATAAGTGAATATTGCATTTGTAGTAGCACTCATTTGCCATCCCAAACGCAGAGGTGTGAGCAGATTAATGATGATTAAAAATGTGCAGTGATGCCACCAGGGTTGAGACTCTTTTGGGCAGAGCTGCTGAACTACTGCTAACCTTATTTATTCATTAAATTTCCTCTCTGTGGCGGGAAGAAAGGAAAAATAAGAAGACAAGGACCTCCATTTTTCTAAAAACCCTTTTTAGATCTTCATTGGGTGCAACATAGTTCATAAGAGGAAATTAATTTAGCCTGAAACAGTTTTGTGGTCAGGTCTGCCATCAAACCACTTCAACACTGCTTTACTTCACTTTCCTGCCATAAATTTCGGAGGGGGGGTATGAAAGGGAGAGGATGATATCCAGAGACGATGGTTGAGTAATCCAAGAACACAACCTCGAGAATGAAATGCAAACAACCATCAAAGAGGCACCAAAAAGTGTTATCAAAACACCAAGTTTGAACCTTACTGGGCCCCACCAAGTTGATCATAGTGGGAGGACCTGAGAGGAGGGGAAAATTCCAAGTTTGGAAACCCTTAGACCTAGCTTTGCTACACTATAACCAACTAGCTCAGTAAAAGTATACCTTGAACCACCAAAATGGAATCAAGAGTCTTTCTTTCCTGAATGCTCAGGTTGGGACAGGTCTGACACTTATTAACTATACATACCCTCTTATCCTATCCTAAATTCTTCCACCTTTTTCAATTCCTTCTTATGAAGAATCTGATTATAAGAGGCTTTGAGATTAGAATATCTATCCTATCCCTGTAATTATTTAATTTTCACACTTTTCTTAGATTCAGAAGACAATTGTTTAACTAAGAACTACCTGGCATCTAAGCTACGTGTTATTTTTTTTCTTTTTCAAAGGACCGTTCGATACTGGCAAAGTTATTGCGGTATGGTGAATGGCACGGGTAAGTGTGTCAATGGAACAGTATTGAATGTTCATTTTTGCATAGAACATACAATATACATTTTAGCTTACATTAAAATAGGCAAAGTTGGAGCTGAAGTCCAGGTGCAAAGCTGCTAAAGGTCCTTCTTCAACCCATACAATAAAATAATAAAGCAAAATAAAAGAGTTCCCTTGCTTTTGTTTTTGCCCTATCAAAATTAAGTAGAAACATCAAAGTTTATGAAAACAGGAAGATAGACAACAAGGCCAAGTTCCCCAAAGTTAGAAATTAAAGACCATAGATTAGGGGGGTGGGGAATTTGATTGCAATTGCTACACTAAAAAATGGATTGGCATATTTGAAGGGAAAGGGTTGAAGGTCTTTTACAGAAAGCAAGATTAATTTCAGGGTCCTGTTTAAACTTATTCCTCCAAGCATGACATTTAAATTTGAGATCATGAGTTCTATATTCTATATTCTCTGTTCTATTCTATGCCATTCATTTTCTTCTATTCTGCATTCTATACTCTATATTCTGTATTCGATTCTATGCCATTCATTTTCTTCTATTCTATTGTATTCTATTGTATTCCATTCCATTCCATTCCATTCTATTCTTATTCCTATTCCTATTCTATATTTTATATTCTATATTCTATTCTATGCCATTCATTTTCTTCTATTCTATTCTATTCTATTCCATTCTGTTCTTTGTCCTATTCTATTCTATTCTATTCTATTCTATTCTATTCTATTCTATTCTGTTCCGTTCGATTCCATTCCATTCCATTCCATTAAATTTTTTGTCCTATTCTATTCCTATTCTATATTCTATATTCTATTCTATTCTATTTTCTATTCTACTCCTCTCTCTTCTCTTCCATATTTCTGTTCTGTTCTATTCTATTTTTGGGCACCTATTGTTCAATAAACGGCTTTCCAGGTTGTAAGTCCCAATTTCCCTTGAGGTCCTACGTCAGTAAACTCCAGAAAAATGTTATTGCTGCATGTTGCTGCATGTTGTCAAAAAGGAGAAGATATTCTTTATTTCTTTAGTTGTGGAAGGCCTGCCTTGGCCTCTGATAACCCCAACAGTTAGAGTTGAGCAGCTGAGTTGGATGAACAGGGAATGAGGCTCAGCTGTAAAGTCGTGCTTTGCATTCAGATGCAGGATCTGGTGTTTTTTTTTTTTTGTACGCGCTGTGAGGCTCGCGATTCACAAGATATTTTGATTGTAACTCACAGATGCAGCTTCATTCCACCCTTTTGTGAATAAGAGTGAAGAGCTGCGTTTCTTTTCCTCTGACATTTGCAGGTAAAGTATTTTGAATAAGTGGGGCCCTTCCTTTCATTCCCAAATACAAGTAAACCACAATTTATGATTGTAACAGGGTATTTCTGATTCTCAGCAAGGGGGTTGTTAAGTGCCCGATTTTATAGAATAGAATAGAATTTGTGATGACCCAGTGTGGGATACAAAAACAACAAAGTCACAAAAACTAGTGAAGTCCCTTTAGTTCCTTCAACTTGGCTTCAAAGGTCCAATTATCATTGACTGGAGAAAAAACTCCCCCACAAACAGTTGCGACAACAGTTGTGACAACAGTTGTTCAAACTCAAAATACATATAAATTATAAATAGGAAAAAAACAACATAAACCACACTGAAGCAATTAATGAGACAAGGCAAGATAAGGGCTTGAAGACATCTACAGATATCAAAATACACACATTAGGAAGGACGCTAGACTCAGATAAGAACTGAAAGACTAGAATTATTTCACGCTTTGCTTCCAGTACTGGGCCATGCACAGTTTGTCATTTTAAACAGTCCTCACAGCTGCAGCCCATGAAGGGGATCAGGGCCCCTTCCTCCCCCATAGACCACACTATTCACATTTCTCCCTTATCCACTCCTCCCTGCGTGCCCTAGGATGAAGAGGGGATGGGCCTGGGTCCTCCTCTGAATGCTCAGCAGGCCTGTGTCCTTCTTCAGTTTCCTCCACAACCTCCGAAGCCACACTCCCACTCCCTGTTGGCTGTTCCTCCTCTCCCCCAGAGTCAAATTCTAACAGGGGCATGACAGAATTCTTTTATTGGCCAAGTGTGATTGGACACACAAGGAATTGCTTTGGTGCAATTGCTTTCAGTGTACATAAAAGAAAAGATAAATTCATCAAGAGTCACGAATCATCAGATACAATGCTTAATAATAGTCATAAGCAAATCATACTAGGAAACAGTCAATAGAAATCATAAGGATACAAGCGACAAAGTTACAGTCATGCAGTCACAAGTGGGAGGGGATGGGTCATAAGGAGTGATGAGAAAGTTAATAGTGATAGTAGTGCAGACTTTGTAAATGGTTGGACAGTGTTGAGGGAATTATTTGCTTAGCAGGGTGATGGCATTCGGGAAAAAACTCCTTGTGTCTAGTTGTTCTGGTGTGCAGATGCTAGAGTACTGCACACCAGAATAACTAGGCACAAGAACAGTTTTTATGAATTATTATTATTTTTTGCCATGTTGGTTAAGCGACTGACTGCAGTTGGTTAAGTCAATCATGCAATCATTAAATGAATCTCACTTCCCATAGGGATTTTGCTTGTTGGAAGCTGGCTGGGTAGGTTTCAGATAGGGTTAGGTTAAATACATGATTGTGGGAATGCTGGGATAGTCATAAGTAGAAGGACTGGTCATAAATCACTTTTTTCAGGGCCTTTGAAACATTGACTGCTTGCTCAATGAATGGTTATAAATCAAGGACTATCTGTAATATAATTTTTAGGTGAGGAAAGTAACATTCAACCAAAGGGACTTCTGTACTGAGTTACTGAATTTCACTCTAAGCAGATTCTCTATTTTTATAGAATAGAAGAATAGAATAGAATAACTTTATTGTCACTTTGAATGTGCACTAATTGGCATACATTAAAATGAAATTTTGTTGCATATAGCAATAGCCCTTAGACTTATATACCACTTCACAGTGCTTTACAGCTCTCTCTAAGCAGTTTACAGAGTCAGCCTCTTGCCACCAACAATCTGAGTCCTCATTTTCCCACCCACAGAGACGGGACAAGCCACTGGAATATAAATTGAGAGTGAACTCCACTCCTTACCAGCACTGATGATGTTACCTAGTTAGGTCATGAAACGCCTGCAAGAAAACAAGCAAGCTCAGAGAGCACCAAAGGACCCCTTAGCTTCTCTATTTAAATTGTACCTCAAAATCCACTTTCTTCCAAGCTGTTAACAGGCAGAGACCTTAACCATTTCATTCCCACCCCCATTATTTTGGAAAGTAATTGTGGCTCTTTGCAAAACTCTACATTTCAAAGCCATCTGAGAAGATGCATTGAATTGCTTTGCTTTCATATGGCTTTTTAGAACTTCTGCCCTCCCCCAAAATAATGATGGACTCTGTTTCCATTATGGTGAGAGGCCATTGATGCTAATCACCCCATTGCCATGATGGACAGTAATCTTGATTGAAGATTCTCTCATTTTGATCAAGGAATGAGATCCAAGATGTTAGATGATCAACTGATTCTCTGAGAAATGATGATTGATGACTACAAGATTGGTGGACATCCCAAAGTGCTTTTTCCAAAGGCAAGTGGACTTTGTTTTTTGAAGATGTTTTGATTCTCATCCGGGAAGCTTCTTCCGTTCCGACTAAAGAACCGAAGAAGCTTCTAGGATGAGAAGTGAAACATCTTCAAAAAACAAAGTCCAGTTTCCTTTGGGAAAAAGCACTTTGGGAGAACCGTGACCTGGATGCCTGAGAATTCTCCATAGACAAGATGGATGGATCTCTTTTTTTAAAAAAATCATCATCGTGCTGCTTTTATCTTATTTTTACAAAACAGGTCAATCTCCGCAAAATTTGAAAGCGAGCAGATAGTGAAAGACATTCCCCTTTACCGCTTCGTTATCCCTCCATCGGCTTTTGCATCGCCCATTACTAATCCTGACAACGTTTGCTTCTGCACCGATATCAGCATAAGCGAGAACTGTACATTAGGTGGAATGTTGGATATCAGCTCCTGCAAAGCAGGTAACGGAGTGAAAATACACTTAGTCAAAAACCTTTTTTAATAATAGAGATGTCTAGAATGTTATGCCTCGGTAAACGTTCCTCACCCTGTCTGTCTTTGCGTCAAAGCTTGTGTTTTTCATGACAATCCAGAGGGAGAGGCTGAATAAAAATGGCAACAGGTTTAAACATCAGAGAGGCCCGTGGGCTGGATCCAGACTGCAGGGAGTTTAGATCTGGCCTGCAGGACCACTCTGGAAACAGTGAAGGACCGGCCTGCAATGCTTCTGCCAGCAAAAACAGAGCTTGGAAAGGTCCCACATGGGTCTCCCGGGCTCCTTTTTCAGCTGTAACAGCCTCCTGCAGCCTTCTGCCAGTGAAAACGGAGCTCGGGGGGGGCTATGTGCAACCCTCCTGGGCTCTATTTTCACTCACAAAGGGGTGCAGGCAGTGGCGGGGTTCAAATTTTTTTTACTACTGGTTCTGTGGGCATGGCTTGGTGGACATGGTATGGCTTGGTGGGTGTGGCTTGGTGGGCATGGCAGGGGAAGAATACTGCAAGATCCCCATTCCCTCCCCACCCCACTAACCTGCTTTCCAGCTCCGTTCTCCTGTGCAGGGCAACTAAAGGAGACCCAGCCAATCATCTGGGACTCAGGAGGCAGAGAATAGATGGGGGTGGGGCCAGTCAGAGGTGGCATCTACCAGTTCTCCAAACTACTCAAAATTTCTGCTACCGGTTCTCCAGAACTGGTCAGAACCTGCTGAAGACCACCGCTGGGTGCAGGCGGCCATAATGGCCAAAAATGGAACCTCGATGAATGACATTGAGCTGGCCATGCTCCCCCACAACACCTTGAGGTCAAACACAACCCTGATGCAGCCTTCAATGAAATCAAGTTTGACATCCCAGCAATAAACAACCACTTATGAATAGTTTGAAAAGGCCAAATTAAGGGGAGAATCCTTTAGCTGCACACTTTGATAGCATCTCCCTTCTAAAAGAAGGATAGTCGCCTGCAGGGGATGGACAAACAAGTCAAGATTGCCATTCCATCAAAATAATCAAAGTTCCATCTATGTGTGTTTGTTTAAGCACGCAGTAGATGAGGTACACATAAACAGAGGGAGACACAGTCACAAAATTGTGTCTGTCATCTTGATGTTGATGACCATGGCCTTGGTCCTGGATTCTGCCAATGAGGAGTTAGACCAGGGGTGTCAAACACAAGGCCAATGGGATGGATACGGTGTGGTTGGATCCGGTCTATGGGGCCATCCTGGAAAATGTAAGGGGCCATCCTGCATTGCTTTGGCTCAGCCTACCCATATCGCTTCAGCCCAGTCTACCCAGTGTGAACGGGAAACATGCCAGAAGTTTGGGAAGTGGCATCAATCTGGCCACACCCACCCAGCTGGCCATGCCCAGTGAGTGCCATCAATCTGGCCACACCCACCAAGTTGGCCACACCCACCCAGTCGTCCAGCCTTCAATTAAATTGAGTTTGACACCCCTGAGTTAGATTATCCCAAAGTTGCTTTATCAAGAGGCAACTGGACTTCCTTTATTGTTTCTTTTTTTTTTAAACAAATTTTATTCAATTTTTCACATTAAAAACAAAAATCTCTTTTTAGCGGACAACATATTTCCGGGTCATCCCCTTTACATACAAATACGACAGCAATTATACATTCATATATGCATACTTAATTCTATTATTACCTTTTCCATTCCAAATTTTCAGTAAGGAGAGAAACAAACACATTAATTCTAGCCTCTTTCATTAATTTCAATCGAAACATCTTTTTGTTTCATTTCAATTATTTCAAATATAATCCTTTAATATTTATTTTAAAAATAAAGATAAACAATATGTGTTTGCTTAATAATAATGATGATAATAATAAAAAAAATTACCAATGTCTCTCCTTGCTTTTAATAGTCTATATTAACTTATTAATTTAGTTGGTTCTTTAGTCTGTCATATTCCTTTCCATTACACATTCTTTTTATAAATTCTAGATTAATACAAATGTTAACACTAAAAAAAAAACAAGTATAGGTTTCCCCACTTTTACTGCTTTGAGTGTGACACCTCAATGATTAAAATATACCTTTATTCCCTCATCTTGATTCCCAGTAGACCATTATTTTTAAGAAGTTACAATAATAATCATTACATCTTTTCATTTGGATTCCGCAGCATATTTCCCCCCCTTGATTTTTAATAAGAGTTATCAATATCTACATTACCCTATTTTCTAAATATTTTTAATTGCAGAAATATTCTTATTACCCCTTGTCACCCTGCAGAATCCCCTTTTTAATTCATCAACCATTATCTCTAAAAAAACAATTTCTTTTCAATATTTTACTATTTCTGTATTTCTTTATTCATGCACCTGTTTCTTACTGCTTCTCCTCCCCCTCTTTTCCCCATATCTTTTCTCATTCCAGTTTATATCCCACTCTTTCTTAATATCTTCCTTTCCCCTTTTCTGCTGGATCTTTCTGCCTTTCCCGACTTCACAGGTATTCCCCCTTTTGATTGCCTTCTTAAATCCCAACTTTTTAACCTTTCTTCTTTCCCCACTTCTTTGTAGTGTTCTTTGTGTTAATTGTCTATTTAAAATGTCTTCTCCTTGAATCGACTCCTTCTCCTCTGAAGCTCTTTCTTCTTGTTCTTCAATCGCCATTTCCATTTTTTCTAACACAGAGCAAAGTGATTTGCCTCTTTCCTGTAGTAATTCTCTCATATTTTTAAGTTCCATTTTTAATTCCCAAAGAGCTATCATCATTACACACTCTTATATTTTATGATCGTTAAAGTCCACCAAAAAAAACCAGTAACACTTTTACTTTCCTTCTTTCTTCTTTCAATTTTCTAAAGTTCTCAGTTATTCCAGCCCAGGGTCTATACCAAAAACATCAATCAATCCCACAGTCAGTCTTTCCTTGCTTTTTTCTTTATTCTGGTTCTGCTTTCACTTTCTAAGATTCTTACTTTGTTTCAATACTTCTTTAATGTAATATCCACACAAGTTCATTCAGAAACAGGATGCTTTCCCTTTTGTTTGAGCTCAAGTTTTTGTCAAAAGATGGCACTCTCCATTATACAAAGTCTTCACCTTTTCCCCCTATTTTTTTATTTAGGGTTTTTCGAACCTCAATATTCCAGCACACTCCAATCTCCAATTTGTAAACTTTATTATCATTATTTTTTGACAATCTTAAATCCAGCTTTATTTTATGCCTGTTTATTCCCAAAATATTTTAGTCCAATTTAGTTAAATATTTAGTTCCAGCTTCTTCCTTTCCTGGTTCAAAGCCCCACTTAGCTGTCAAAAATATTTTCTTTTCTTTTTCCTGTCCCTTTTTAATTTCTCTGCTCACTTTTCTTTTCTTAAAAATTCCATTTTACCTTAATCCCAGGGTACTTTTGTTTAGTTGTATTGCCCAGTTGTCCCAGTTCAGATGTTATCCACCTCTTTCTTCCCTCCTGCACAAATCTTAATCCAACTGAGTCCTCCTCTTGGGGGTGCCATTTTAAACCACCACTGCAGTTGTCTTTGGGGGGGGGAAAGACCAAGCCCGGGGGGGAGATATGGCTCCCCTCAACCTGGCTTGTGGCTTCCCTTTACTCCACGCCCCCAGACAGCTTCAGCCCCTAATCATAATGATCAGGGCTCTCCAACGAAAGAGCACAGACCATAGCTGCAGAGAGTCATGATCTACGGTCCATCAGCAAGAAAGCTCCGCCTTCTTCCTCTTTGTTGTTTCTTGAAGACATTTCACTTCTCATCCAAGACACTTCTTCAGTTCTGACAGTCCAGACAATCAGAACTGAAGATGCTTCTTGAATGAGAAGCAAAATATTTGCAAGGAAAAACCATGAAAGTCCATTTGCCTCTTTGAAAAAGCACCTTTGGCACAACCATGACTTGGATGTCTGAGAATCTGCATGGAAGAATTAGACTAGATTAGCACCTAAACTTGGATGAAGGTAGGGGCTCTCAAATGAAACTTTCAACCCCTTAGCTTAAATTACTATAGAATATTTAAGATGAGAACCAATTTGGTTTCATTGATACTCATTAACCCTGGTAGTTCTAAGTTTTTAATTTATCGGAACATTGGGCATCCCCGTTCTAAAGTCGCATCATAATTTTTCCTGAATTGAATTGGGTCGATCATGTCAAATAATGGACCTACAAGGAATCCACAGAAGCAATTAGGAAAGGATAAATTTGGACAGTTTCCCCCAAAAAAAATTTGATAAAAAGTTTTTTATTTATTTTGACAACAAACATTTGACAAATACAACTGTAAAAGATCAAATAAAACAATTTTTCCATTTTACAGTGTGTCGGTTGGTACATATCTTTTGTGCACAATATCAACAGTCTTTCCCTTCTAAATTTAAATCAAAATTCATATTATATAGATCAACTACGCATATTATATTATTATTAACTCTTTATTAGACTTTAATTATACATTCATGTCATCCTTTTCAGGAAAATCTCAACTTTTACAAAACCTAGTTCATAATACCATTCATTTCATTGTAATCAGTTATAACATATCATTACATTCTTATCTTTACTATTATGTTGCATTTATATTATAGTATATTTTATTTCCCTATTTTCTTATCTAGCCATTAATAAAATACATCCCAAATTTTATAATATTCTTTATCTTCTTGCTCTCTAATTGCTAATATCAATTTACTCATTTCCGTACATTTCATTATTCCAAATTCTTTTTGGAATGTTGGGTTTCAATCGTGTCTAATTGGCCAAGCTTCCCAGGAGTTGTACTTGGTGAATAAGCTCCCCAAGTGGTTTGCAGCTCTCTGAAAGATAGAAGCATCTCCATTCTTTTGTTCAGTTTCACTAGTAGAATGGAACTTGATGATACAGCTTGTACATTGTCTTCATTTCCCTTTTCTTTCCATAGGTAAACCAGTCTACATCTCGTTGCCCCATTTCCTGCATGCGAGTAAGGAATTTTTTCAGTTTGTTAAGGGATTGAAGCCAGATAAGGAAGAACACAAAACCTTTCTGGATGTAGAACCAGTAAGTGAATTCCTTCTCTGTCACAGAATTTGTCCCCTGGAGTTAATTTTGGGGTTTGTTCACTGAAGTGGAAAGTTTTCTCTAGTTCATTTGGTCCACAAATGGGATGTAGATGTCAACTTGTAAAACATTCCTATTCCTGTTTTCAAGTTGCCATAAACAAGAGGGGAGAAAAATCTGAAGGAGCAGTACAGCAGTTTAAAACCAGAAGTACATTCCACCCCTTAGCTTAAAAAGATTGTAGCTAGGCTACCGGATCTTCTGACCATGAAAATCCTCCATTGGAGAGCATGATTGATGACAACCAGCCTGTGAACGGACTTCATTGTAGTATCTGATTTATGATACACCCAGTTGGAAGAGGGAAACAGGGGACTGTAAATTACGTATGTCAGAGTTGGCTTTATTTAGGTTAATGCCAACATGTTGCTCCTAATAAATCTTTTGAATTTTTTTGAAGCTTGGCCTGAGACTCATGATTTAATTAGGGCAATGAAACACCTGACAGTAATTTTTTCAAGAGCTCACCAGCCTCTACTTCAATAAGGTTTTGGGGTTGTTATTTTGCTGCTTATTCTAAGCACATTAAAAAGTGTCACACTGATCTTAAAAGCAAACCTCAATCACAAAATTGATGAATATTCAGTTTCAGTTAATTGCAATTGAAATCATTGAAACAAGTAAGGTAGCTATGGCTTCCTGGCTAGTGAGAGTCCAATGCTTGTAAAATCTTTCCAAACTCAGCATCTGAATGCATTATTTTGAATGCATTTTTTTGTCTAATTAATGCTGCTAATATTTGAACAGTCCCACCCACAAAATTCACTATTTGTTTTTTTGTTTTGTTTTTTAGATCACAGGATTTACCTTGCACTTTGCCAAAAGGCTGCAGATTAATCTATTGGTGAAACCAAACCCAAAAATCACGTAAGTCTTGGATGTTGTTCTTTTCTATGGGAAAAAGGTGGATTTTCTGCATGTTTGCTTATTGGGAGAACTGGTTTATGAGCAACAGCATCTCAGGATAGGTCAAAATCTGCAAATTGGCAGGTGTGACATCCTCCCTGGAAGCTTCTTCTAAACAAATTCTGATTGGACAGATGGACAACGGTTGAGTGTAGGCTTCAAAAATCAACATTATAGCTAAGACCTTATCTGTTTTGTCCACTCTCCCCCAAAATATGTGTGCTTGGCCATCAAAAATAGAGCTTTCCTTGCTATTTTTTTTGCTTATTTTGAAAACACCATTAGCCTTTTGCTCAAAGGTAACAATCAGGGGTGTCAAACTTGATTTCATTGAGGGCCGCATTAGCGTTGTGTTTGACCTCGTGGGGAGGGGGGCAGGGAGCATGGCTAAGGTGAGTATGGCCAGCTCAACATCTCTCAACAGTTTTAAATTTCTGGGTGTTACCCTAAAAGAGGACCTGACCTGAGGTACTCACATTGCAGTCCTGGTCAAGAGGGCCCAGCAGAGATTATATTACCTGAGGCTTCTCAGAAAACAACAACTGAATGAAAAACTGCTGCTGACCTTCTACCACTGCACCATAGAGAGTATCTTAACTTACTGCACACCTGTGTAGGGTTTGTCAATTGCACCAGGGCAGATAGGACAGCACTCCAGAGGGTTAACGTCATTGCCCAGAGGATCATGGGTTGCCATCTCCCCTCTTTGGAAGAGCTTCATAGCTCCCTCTGCCTCAAGAAAGTTCAAAACATTCCCAAAGATCCATCTCATCCTGGGAACCCCCTTTTTTTAACTATTACTGTCTGGCAGATGGTACAGGACAATGATAAAAACAAGGACAAACATGCTGAAAAACAGCTTCTAACCCAGGGCAGTAGCTCTGTTGAACTCTACTGTATAGTGCAATATTAATGCAATAGCAGGGGTTTTCAATTCAATGTGTGCAGTGTGAGGGATGTGTGTTTGTGTTTATTTTCATAGTCATAAATTGTACACTGAAGATGGTACTTAATTTCATTGTACAAGGTGCAATGACAATAAAGTAAACTAAACTCATCAAGGCTCCGTTTTTGGCTGTGATGACCTCCTGCAGCCTCCTGCCAGCAAAAACAGAGCTCGGGGAGGCAGTGCCTGGCTTAACCAGGCTCCGCTTTGGGCTGCAACGGCCTCCTGCAGCCCTCTGCCAGTGAAAGCGGAACTCACATGGCCATGCCAAGCTCCCTTTTCACTGGCAGAGGGTTGCAGGGAGCGATTGCAGCCAAAACCAGAGCCCGGAAGGCTCATGCATGGCTCTCCTGAGCTCCATTTTCACTGGCAGAGGCACTGTGGGCCCCTCCTTTGCTCTTACCAGGGCAGTTTCACAGGCCAGATCTAAGCACCTCACGGGCCTTGAGTTTGTACACCCCTGATCTAAACGAATGTAGCCATTTCCAACTGGTTGGAGGAAGCACCAAAGTAGAAGAGGCATTTTCTCCACAGGGCAATTTCAATCAGGCTCCAAGAAAAATAGTACAGAACTCAAAATAACATGGAGGCAAAAAGAAAAAAGAAAGAAAGATGGACAGACTAACTTTAGAAATCAAAGATAAGGGTGAGACAGAGGATTATGAAGTTTGGAGTAAAATGGCTAGAGTCAAGGAAAAAGAAAGAAAGGGTTGATGCTTTAGAGGAATGAAAGCTAAAGTTTTGTAAACCAAAGAGAATGGAATATAATGGACAAATACGAAATGATACAAATGCATGGGTATAAACGATGGTTGTAAATATGTATATAATTGTAGATAAATGTAGATAAATGTAAATAGAAATAATATGCAGTTAGCACTATACTAATGTGATGACCTGGGATGTGGCACAAAAGAAACAAAGTCACAAAAGTAGGTCAAGTCCCTTTAATTCCTCCAACTTGGCCTCCAATGTCCAGTTATCATAGGCTGGAGAAAAAACTCTCCCAAGAACATTCTTTAAAGGGAAGAAATTCAGTCTGAACCAAAACTACATATAAATTATAAATAAAAACCAACACAAACCAGGGCAGGATAAGGAATTGCAGACTTCAAAAGGTAATGAAAAACACAGTTGAGAGGATGCCAGAACTCAGATAAGACTTGACAAACAAAGATAATTCACGCTTTATTTCCAGCAAGATTTTGTGTGTAAACGCCCTTTTTAAATCCTGCTTTCCCAGCTGCAGCTAATGAAGGGAATCAGGGCCCTTTTCTCCCCCGTAACCCCCGTAACTCATGTTGCTCCCTTCTCTGTTCCACCCTGCATGCCCTAGGATGAAGAGGGGGTGGGCCTGGGTATCCTCTGAATGCCCAGCCAGACTGTGCCCTTCCCCAGTTTCCTCCACAGCCACCACAGCCACATTCCCTCTCCCTGTCAGCTGCTCAACCTCCCCCTTGGAATCAGACTCCAACAGGTGCATGACAACTAATAACATAAGGGAAAAAGGAAATTAACTGTTATGTGTATCTCTATACTATAGTTTATATGGCCAAAATAATGGCCAAGAAAGTCGCGCTGTGTTCAATTGTTTTTAATGTTTATTCAATAATTTTTTTAAAAAATAAAATAACGTGGAGGCCATTTCTTGTATTCTCAGAAGACAGCTGACTCAAACTCAGTTGTTCTAATGTTGCTGCTTTTTCTCTCTCTCTCATTTTTGTTTCCCGCAGAGCACTAAGAAAAATTAAGCATCACTTCATCTTTCCTATTTTGTGGCTGAACGAGGTGAGTAAGTTTTCTTTTTCAATTGTTGCCAACCTTCCTTTTAGTTTGACCAGTCTGGGATCACTGTTGATTGAACCAACTAAAAAACAGAGTTGGGGGGGGGGGTGGAATCCCCAGAAAAATCTGCTTCTACATGATCATCTACTAACCATGGAGTTTGTGTCAGTTCTCCCATCTGGGAGAAGATCCAGGGATCCTGCCCTTAACTGGTTCTGCCTTCCTATGAAATGAAACCAGTAGAAATCAACGTCCAGGATCACTCGTTCTCTCCTTTTCCAGTCTTTGCTGCTCCCCTCCCCCATGTAAACTTCTCAAACCCATTATGCAGAAGGAAGCACGAAAATTCTGGGTGGTTTCCTTTTGGATGACACGAAGTCATCTTGGCCATCAATCAGATGTTGCTTTGCTACCTTCTTGCCTTTGTGCTACAGTATTTTGACTGCAGGAATGAAAATTCAGTACTTGGCCATTCTGGTTAGGGGTTTTCCTCTCATTGCTAACTGGGGAAGGAGCAAATCTGTCAAAAACCCAGGGCTGTAGAAGTGTATCCCTGTGGCTGCCCACCTCCCCTGCAGCCATCCATTTTTGGTACAACAGAAGAGGGACATTATTAAACACACAGGGACTAATAGCATTCATAACCCTTGCATTTTTTTGGTATTAAGTCACATGTCTGTGGAGATTCTCAGCCATCCAGATCAGAATTGTCCTGAAGATGCTTTATTAAAAGGCAACTGGACTTACATCTGGTTTAATAGCTCCATTACATCTGGTTTAATAGCTCCCAAGGTGTTTGTTTTTTCCAAAAGGCAATTGGACTTCGCTTTTCCTTTCAAGACATTTCACTTCCCACCCAAGAGGCTTCTTCAGTTCTGACTGAAGTCAGAGTCAGAAATGAGTCAGAACTGAAGAAGCTTCTTGGATGAGAAGTGAAACATCTTTCAGGAAAAACAAAGTCCAGTTGCCCTTTGGGAAAAAAAACAACACCTTTGGGGCTATTAAAGTAGATGTAAGTATTCTTCAGAGTTCAGTTCCTTGCTATGTTCAGTTCCACGCTCGGTTCCTTCCTCTTTCTGTTGATTTACCATCTGATTGCAGAGAATCTGTTTGCTACTTGCAATTGTCATCTTCTTCCCTACTGCAAGCTGGATACTTTATTTTATGCAAAATTGTGCAAATTGCAAAATAACGCTTATTTGGGAAGAGCATTCTGCTGCTGCATGAGTGGGAGGATGGCCTAGAGGTGAAGCTCTCGCCTCACAATCAGGAGACTGTGAGTTCAATCCTAAGTAGAGGCAAATATTTCTCTCTCTGAGGACAATGAGAATATATCTGCTGAACAAAACTCCTCATTGGCAACAGGAAGGGCATCCAGCCAGTAAACGCTCAGCATTCAGACTCCACCCCCCCAGACTCCACCCCCAAAAGGGATTATGGGGTCATTAAAGGAAGATAATGATTCCTCTGCTGCTGCATATTCAGATTGTATTCTTCTGCTGGAAGGATGCTGAAAAATGCTTTCTTTCTGTCTCTGTCTGTCTGTCTGTCTCTCTCTCTATATATATTTCCAGACCGCTATTATTGGTGATGAGAAAGCAGACATTTTCCGATCCAAAGTGACCAACAAGATCAAACTGCTGAACTTCCTTCAGCTGACACTAATGATCATCGGATCTGTGATCTTTCTGGGATTCCTAGTTGCTTTCTTCCTATGCAAAGGAAAGAGCCCCAAATAAGTAAGTGACGTTTGGAATTAAGACCTGCAATCCATTAATTCAGAAGGGCTCTTGGCTCCACCAGATCCTATGTGGCCTAGGACATTATTTATTTATTTATTTAGAAAATTTGCATTGCCACCTACTCGCACATGGAAACTCAAGGCGGCTTACCAGGATATAAAAACACTATATAAAAGAAATAAAAAGAAGCATAATGAAATAAAGCCCTAACCCATCCTGGTGACAACACACATTCATAACAGGCATTTAATGGGACTCCATCCCGCTCTGGGTTCCCCAGGCCTGCTGGCAGAACCAGGTCTTCAGTGCCTTTCAGAAGAATATTATAGAATATAGAACAACAGAGTTGGAAGGGACCTTGGAGGTCTTCTAGTCCAGCCCCCTGCCTAAGTAGGAAACACTACACCACTTCAGACAAATGGTTATCCAACATCTTTTTAAAAACTTCCAGCGTTTGCAGCATTTACAACTTCTGGAGGCAAGTTGTTCCACTGGTTAATTGTTCTAACTGTCAGGAAATTTCTCCTTAGTTCTAAGTTGCTTCTCTCCTTGATTAGTTTCCACCCATTGCTTCTTGTCCTATCCTGAGGTGCTTTGGAGAACAGCTTGACTCCCTCTTCTTTGTGGCAACCCCTAAGATTTTGAAACACTATTATCATGTCCTTCTTTTCCTCAGACTAGACATACCCAGTTCCTGCAACCGTTCTTCATATGTTTTAGCCTCCAGTCCCCTAATCCTCTTGGTTGCTATTCTCTGCATTCTTTCTAGAGTCTAGGTTTGCCTAGCCTAATGAAAAGAAGGACTAGGAGTGACGTGGTAGCAGTCTTCCAATCTTGGAAGGGCTCCTACAAAGACGAGGAGATCAAACTAATTTCCAAAAGGCAGGACAAGAAGCAATGGTTGGAAAGTAACCAAGGAGAGAAGCAACCTAGAACTGAGGAGAAATTCCCTGACAGTGAGAACAATTCATCAGTGGAACAACTTGCCTCCAGAAGTTGGGGTGCTTCAACACTAGACGTTTCCAAGAAGAGATTGGGCACCAATTTGTCTGGAATGGTATAGGGTCTCCTGCTTGAACAAGGGGTTGGACTAGAAGACCTCCAAAGCCCCATCTCTTGTTCTGTTATGTAGGACTTTCAGTTATTGATCCTTACCAGCAGCAGGAAAATATAGTGATGGACACTGATATGTTTTAACTAAGGCTATGGACCCATAGCTTGAGGAAAAGATGAAATAATAATATGAATCTTAGCATCTTGGCTCCAAGATGCATTCAAATAGACATTAAGTCCCAGTCAATCATCTTAACATTTCTGGATTTATCAGACTCATTTGTGTTATTTTCTTTTCTCGGCCTGCAGAAAGATGCTGCTGGTGAAAGCATCCATTTCTTCCAATTCCCAGCGGAAAGTAGACTTGCCTTCCTGGTGTTGGTGTTGGTTGTGCTCTGTATATGTAAATATCCTGGGGAAGATGCCTGCAATACAGCGGTGACAGATAAAGTCACTTTTTCTAACCAGAACTCCACTGACATTCAGATGCCCTATTTTCACCTCATCAGAAAGACTGGCATGAAACCTGAACTTCTGGGTCTCTCTGAAGAAAATCCCATTTTCGCCCACTTCAGAATGAAACTCCAATTTGGACTGAAGTTTGTTCTGCCAATTCTGCAGCTTGACTGCCGTTTCCTCTGGGTTTGTTTGTTTTTTTACACCTTGGGCGTTGAAGAACGAGAACTGAAGTTACAAAGTTACACAACTGAGTGGCTGGGCTGGAAAAGGATGATGATTATTTTTTGCCTCCCAGCCCTCTGAAGAAAAGAGCCCTGTTGTGTTTGTCTTCAAAAGCTGTGACTTCTTTTTTTGAAGAAGAAGAAGAAGAGGAAGAAAGACCAACAATTGTAGAATATTAATTGCTAGTAAAAGACTTACTGAAAAGTCCTGTTTGATTATTTGGGTTTCTGTCCTCCTCACCCCAAGCTCCCCTAACCTTCCCGCTCTGCCTTTTGCAAACTTGCAAAAGTGGTTTTGGGGTACACTGTTGTGGAAAGATCTTGGGAATAACCTAGCAATAAGCATCTTAAAATAGGCAGCCTTAATATATATATATATATATTCTGAGGTTCTCGCGGGTATTTGTATGTGGATCTTTGGTTGTTCGGGTTTTCTCCTGCGTAAGATTCGAAGTATCTAGGCAACGTTTCGATGAAGTCTCATTCATCATCTTCAGGCTTCTGTCTTCGGCTCTCTGCTTCTCAGAGTGATGTGAGCTCGCAGGTGCTTCTTCCTTTTAACTGCTAGTGGGGGTGTGACTTGATTGGGTGGGGGCTTGGCTGTGTTCTGATTGGGTGTGTGTGTGTTCTCATTGGTAGGGGGTTTGGCTGTGTTGTGATTGGTTGGGGGCTTGGCCATGTTCTGATTGGCTGGAGGCATGTTCTGTTCAGGTGGGGGCTTGGTTGTGCTCAGGTTAGTCTTAGTTGCTGGGGGATTTGAGCTGGTGAACTGTGATCCTGCTGTTTGGCTTC